ACGCCGCACTATGTATCGCCACAGGGGCTTTTTGAACATCGCCCATAGATAGTCTTCTGGTGGAGGCTCACGAGCCCCCACCAGCATTGCGAAGGCAGATGCTGGGACTGCGCTACACGTGCAAGCTGGCGCAGTTCCCAGATCAGCCCACCTACAAAGCAATATTTTCGCGTAGCTTACGAAGGCTTTTTCTACGTCAACGGTCACCACAAACTTCTCCCTTTTGTGTACGAATGGGAGAGCTTTTAGACGCGAGCGGCCTCAACCTACGGCGTGTCATCAGACCTAAACCCATGAAGACTGCTCCTTGAGAGCTAGAATCGCCAAGAGTGGATGTTTCGCTATCAAACATGCAAAAGCAACGCGTTTTCATGAAGGAACTTAAAGGCACGGCCTTAGAGCACATAGCTTCCTTTGACGGATACATGATAACTTATACGTATGGTTCGAAGACGGATGCAGGTGTAGGATGCGCTTTTGTGTGCGGATCCACAACACGGTCATTCATACTGCTTTCACACGCGTCGGCCTACACTTCCGTGCTTATCGCCATCAGCAAAGCTCTCTGTTTTATTGAAGTGGACGGTAGCAATCTGCATTTTATTCTTTACGACTCCTTTAGCAGTCTCCTGGCTGTCGGCGGCTTCTCGTCGAGTCCAGTGGTCCAGAACATTCAATCGCGTCTTAGCTCACTGAATCGAGCAGGAAAAACGGTCGTACTATGCCGGATCTCAATTCACGTGGGGATCTGCGGAAATGGCCTTGCTGACGTGATGGCAAAGCGCGCCACGACAAGGACGCGCATTCCTATAACACCACTACCAGCTCAAGACATGTGCCCCGCAGTGTCGTCGTTTAGGCAACAGCGACAGCAGTTCCACTGGAACTCGCTGAGCGCCAACAAGCTGTAGTCCGTGAAACCCCGTATTGGACTACGGCAGTCGTGTTTTCGGGACAATCAGAGGAAAGAAGCTGCCCTTTGCCGGTTACACATAGGCCACACATATGCTACGCACCGTCACCTGCTATTGGCTGGCAACAGACCATGCTGCAGTCGGTGCACTGATCCGCTGACCGTGCATCACGTACTGGTCGCTTGCTGTCACCTTACTGCAACGAGAGCGCAGTTTTTCGGTCATTACGCCCAGAGTCGCACGCTATGTCACTTTTTAGGGGATTCTTCGCACGCTGTCGAGTTTGGTAAAGTGGTCCAGTTTCTCCGCGCTATAGATTTCCCAGAAATATTTTCATCATGATTCTAGGCCTGATCATCAAGGCTTTATAGGGTGACTTGATTGACGCGCTTCCCTGATTGGCGGCTCTGCATAAATTGATAGATATAGGCGCTGCATGACCCACACCGGTCGATGCGTCCTAAAACCCCAAATCATCATCATCATTTTGAAAAAGGTTCTGAATTATATTGCTTCAGAAAGTGTCCACTAAGCCATGGCAAATTAAGGACACCGGTGATTTATTCCATGCGGTCGCTAAACGCGTGATTTCTGCAGTTTATTGACATTAACACACGCTCGGATGGGGGTCAAATTAATTCGCCCCCCGAAGGTTTTTCCAGAATGGTTTCCGAACGGGGCGGTGTAGCTGCGCCATGTTTTGCATAGTTGTAGAAAATTGAATAGCGGATCGTTTGGCATAAAACATTTAGACGTACTCTGTAAGTTCGCTGACCTATGAAAGGTCAACTCAGGCTATGGTTTCAGGAAAGTCAGCTCCTAGCGAATCGTTCAATTTGATGCAACAATGGAGTGTTAGACAAAGCCATGCATATCTGAAATGCTTTCTTAGGCAACACAAATATTGAATGAACAAATTAAGTTGACCTAAGGTCAGGCATCAACCTGGTATCACACCAAGGTCAAAATCAACCTGTTTTATTTCTCCAGGGCTTGCTGTATGAGATAGTTTTTGGTGCTCATTTCGAAATTTTCGATAGCAGGAGCCGCGTTATTCATCTTCCATGGACTTCTTAGAGGTCAGAATAGGCTATTGACCTAAAATGAGGGTGGTCAACATTTTGTTTTTGGAAACATACTGTCCAGCGTTAACTTTCTCACTTATTCAAATGCAAAACTCAGAGCAGTCTTGTATGATATTCGTCACCATGACCTTCAAAGGATCAAAAAAGGTCACTGATTTCAACTGAACGTTTGGCCTTTTGCTTACAAACCATTTTCTAGGTTCTGGGGGCACTGAGCATTAAGGTGGCAAGCGTCCCCCTTCTGCCCCCCCCCCCCGTCCCCCTGTTCCCGAGCCCATACTGCCAGTGGGGTTAGGAATCGCTGGTAAACCAAATTGGTCGCAAAGCATGGCTGTGCATGGCTCTAAGCGCGGTGTCACATATTGGCACCTTCCCCTGGCAAAAAGTATACAAAAATATAACCACTTGTTTACTGCGTTCCAGCAGCTGCCAGATTTGACATGAATGCAGGCAATTACTGCGCACCGCCAAAGCAGAAACGAAATAAACGGAGCGAGGGTACCAGGCTTTGGTTATGCTTACAGCTCGTCTTCGGGGATAATTAAGGCTATAAAGCTGTGGTAAGTATTTTCATAACTTAAACACGTTTTCAAGTTGCATTTCAGGTGCGGCTTTGATATTTGCCGGGGTGTAGTCAAAGGGGGCTGTGGACGTGCCCGCTGTGATTGCTTTTACGCACCTATTGGTGTGCAAATCTTGGCTATAAACCGGGGGAAAAGCTTTAAAAAAGCTTTAAACAAATATTTTAAATCCCTGCATTTTTTGTGTGCGTATGAGCTCACTTGTGATTTGTTGTGTGCAGTAGAGTGACTTCTGAGGTCAAGAACTTCAGTTTAACCCATTCTCATTGGGAAATCCTGCATGAGTTCATGAAAATCTGCATCTCTGTGTTCTGATTGCTATGACCTAGTAAGTAACCTAGTACTGTGGCATGCTTCCATCAACATATATGTTGTGATACCACTACATTTGTGGAAAACAATATGCATGTAGGTATGGTAGTACTGTTAGTTTTTTCATCATAGAAAGACTGGGAGAGAGCAGATTTAGATGTATTGGTGCATATTTTTTGTATGTGCCCCTTGCAGTTGTTTTCATGTGCCAATACCACAGGTGTGCATACAATTAAGTTCTAAAAATAGAAACCGGGAGACAAGTAAACAAATAGATGGAAATCATGTATTGTTGTATTATGATGTTATATAAGATAGATGTATTGATATACCTATGTCTCCTTCCATCTGGTTATTTTTAAAGGAATAAGGCTTATCATACTGTCTTACCTTAGTATTTCACAATTTTAAGCTATTTATTTGAGTCATATTTGCCATGGATCTTGGTATGTCACCCAAGCATCAAGTAGTGCCCACCTAGGATATCAAAGCAAAATATTTTGATACCTTGGGAACAACTTAATTCTTACCCTAACCCTTGCCTATGCACATACACTTTGAATGTACTTCTCTTTTCCCTCCCCCCCCCCCATCAGCCCTGGAGTTTCCCATCACCCATGTCTACCATCTAGACCCACCTCCACCTCATTCTGCTTCTCCATTGCAAGGTATCATTCAAGACTCACTTTCACTTCCTGGTGTCACCAAAATCTTTTAATGGCTCACTTCTGCTTCCCTCCCTATCCTTCTGGTGTGTTTTTCCACCATTCATCCCACCACTTCTTATCCCAGGCCTCACTGTTTGTGTCCAGTGTTCCAATCATTATTGTTCACCCCTATCTTGATAATTGTTATGCTCCTTTCCTATTTTCTATGTCTGCCTAGGCTCAACCTCCTGCTCTTGACTCTAATCATACCTTTCTGTGATTTTTCCTTGACAAACCAAACAACCACTGCATGTACTCATATCACTGATGTTGCACTGTAGTTGTTTGAATTGGTAAATTATGCTGTTGGGATAGGTTAGTGGGCTTGGGGTTGGATAGATGATGATTGTGTTTTCAGAGAGTTCATAAAATGGGGTGAACAAATAGGAGCAAAACCCAACTTTTTGTGTATGCATGGCAGCCTGTTGGCTGAAATTGACATCCAATATGGACAGAGTCCCTTATTGAAATCCCTGATTCTGCCTGTGTAGTCATGGTTAACAGACCATGTCCAAACAAAATACTTATTTTGTGATGTTCAACTGCTCAACATTTTTGCAATATTCCAGCTAAAAATGTATTGTGTAGTGTATGTTCTGGGTGACAAAAATGTGGTTACCTAGGTTTGTCTCACAAATGTCTTTTCAATTTGCAGACATAGCCAAAAGTACCTGTTGAAGCATGTTTAGCAGTTATTCAGGTAGTTATCACATATCTGGTTTTGTGTTGCTTTTCACATGCACCACGTTCCACCACCTTCCACCACCTTCCACCACCTTCCTTTTTGCAAGGTGCTTAAAGATGGGGAGTGAGTTTGTGATGATGACATTCATCTACAGATCAGGAGGCAAGAATGTCTGGATATGGAGCTGGCAATGACAGGTTCCAGGGACCAGCCAGCAACAACCAGCCTCTGGAATTCGGTAACAGGATGGGTGGGGGTGAGTTCCTCTTCAGGGCCAGTAAGTCACACTAGAGGCTTTGTCTGTACTCACTAAAAATAATATCTGAGAATGGTTGACCCATGAAGTGTAAAGACAATTCAGAATACATGTGTAAACAATCCCAGACATTCATGCATGACCTTGCAGCAGAGACACTCATATCAAAGCATATTTTGTTGGTTTCTATGATTATCTCATCAATGCATATTTGGTTGTTTTCTATGGTGGTAGTTTCTCAATGGGCATTGTTATTGATCAATGCCTGACCTTGAAAACACTGACATTATACCAACTCAGGCTTTTGATTATGTGCTTTGACTCGCTATTCACATGAAGCTAGTCAATCACCAGTCACTAGTTATTGCTCCTAAAAAACATGAGCACAGCTTCCTGCCACTGCTTCCTGGCGGCACGTAGTGCTGACGGTAGTTGCCGTGTCGGCCGGCAGGCGGCTCGCCGGACAGCGGGGACCGGCGCGGCTCTCGGGCGCGGGGTGGCTCTCGCGGCGGCCGGCCCGGCATCGGGCGCAGCTACCAGGACAACGGCGGCCCAGACGCCGGCGGCGACTTCAACGGCAGGAGGAACGGTGAGCGGTCCATCGGCGTCGCGCATCCGGACTAGACTGCTCTCGATTTGTCTCCTGCTGGAGCAGAGTCCACACCGACTCGCAGTCTGTGATGGTGGTCCGTGCTGCTACACGGACGCAGCAGCGTGACTGGGAGTTGACTCAGATTATAACTGAAGGTCTCCTGATTCTAACTGAATAACTTTATACTTTGACTGAAGGAATCCTGATTGCAACTCAAAGGTCACGGTTCTGACTCGGTGGCTCCCGGTTGTGACTCAGGGCGTCCGCTCCGGTAGCTCAGCAGGCCAGAGCACCTGCCTTCCAGTCCACGCATCTGTGACCTATTTTCTCGCTATTTTCGCTCGCTGCTATTTCTCATGACAGGGATGGCCCGCGGCCACTGGCAGTGGCCGCGCTAAAGGTTAGGTGATGTCAGAGTGCAGGAAAGATTGCTGGATGTTGTGACATGACATATGCTTATTCCACATCATGCAACAACTCATCCTGGATCACAGTTCTCATGGGGACCAATTCCATCGGTATGTCAAGACGACCTGTTTATTATGGAGTTGACTTACACTCCGTGCAGTGTCAGACACAGGTCCGCTGATGGGGTGGACACAGGTCGGACATAGGTCCGCTGATGGGGTGGACACAGGTCGGACACAGGTCCGCTGATGGGGTGGACACAGGTCGGACACAGGTCCGCTGATGGGGTGGGCACAGGTCAGACACAGGTGTGCTGATGAGGTGGACACAGATCGGACACGGGTCTTCTGATGAGGCGGACACCAGTCGGACACTGGTCCGCTGGGGATGTTGGTTTATATAGTCACGTCCCTAGGGGGCCTTACAGTGTAATCCGGTGGGGGCGGGCTTCGGCGGGTGTCGCTGGGGGTCTTCTGGGTGATAGACCTCGCCCACACGCTCAGTTATAGCGCCGCTCAAGGAGCATGATCCGGGGCCGTGGCCTCCCTAGTGGCGGAGGAAACCACGCCCCTAGTGTGTAGATGCAACACGCACGTGCCAATGTCGGTGGATTCTGTCTGAATTGACAGCGAGCTTACAACGAGTGACTCTCTGTATTCTCATGCTGAAGTCATGCCATCTGAACAGTGACTGATGCCACTGACTTGATCTGTGCTCTGATTTAGGTGCCTGTAACACGAGTATGTTCTGGCTTGCACTGTCGTAACTGCAGTCACAACGTCGGGGCATGTGAGGGTACAGAAGTCTCATCGCCGCTCGCAGAGCAGTGCGGGGTTTGGCTAGCACTGAAGTGCCCGTTTCGGCCGGCAGATGTCTCCGGTAGTCGGCGAGACCGCGGACGCCGGGATGGCAGTCACAACAGCGGAATACAGATGGGCGGCATGGTGCCACGTACGTATGAGTGTCGGTCCAAGTGTTCCGCTACGCAGCATGTGGTCGCCTTGGTCATTGTGCGCGTATGGTGATTGCTGATCGCTCATCAACAAGCCATGGCTCTGAGGAAATGGGTGTATGGGTGCTCGTCTGGTGCCAGGTTCGTGGCGTGTGCGTGGGCCCTAGTTGTGGACTGGCTGTGCGGCAGTGCTCCTCATGGCCACCAGTTGCTATGGGCAAGTTTCTCTGTTGATCCACACCCTGGATTGACTGGGCAGTGGGGTCAGAATAAGCTTGGTAACTTTGCTTGATGGCAACAAAGCATTACCACACATGTGCAGCAATGGTTTGGATGTCACTTGCCTCGTCTCGCCTCGCCTCGCGTCGCCTCGCCTCGCCTCGCCTCGCCTCGCCTCGCCTCGCCTCGCCTCGCCTCGCCTCGCCTCGCCTCGCCTCGCCTAGCCTCGCCTAGCCTCGCCTCGCCCCGCCTCGCCTCGCCTCGCCTCGCCTCGCCCTGCTCCGTCCCGCCCCGCCTCGCCTGGTCTGGCGTCCTCCACTCTGTGTCCCTGACCGTGCCGGGCCTGGGTGCGCGCGGCTGTGACCGGGTGCGACGGCGGTCCCCGGCAGCGGGCGGTGTGATGCCGGCCGGCCAGCACCTGGTGGCGCCCGGCGCTGGACCCAACAACGGCCTGCAGATGGCAGCACCCGGCCCGCAGCCCATGGGCATGGCCCAGCCTGGGCCCGACCCCATGCAGATGTGGGACATGCAACAGCAACAGCAACAGCAGCCGCCGCCGCCCATCCCGCAGCAGCAGCAACAGCAGCAGCGTGAGTAGCACCGGCGGCGGAGGCCAGGGGGATTGTGCCCGAGGGCCAGACTGAAATGGTCACCTGACAGTAGGCTTAAAGGTGTAACATCGTCCTTATCATTGGTAAAATATCCAAAGGTGATCTGCCATGCCTAATGCTGTCCCAACCCACCCTGATTCGCGTGCCACCCTACGATGACCCACAACTTCAGCCATGACTGACACGTGACTTGCCATGTTTAACAGCTGGAATACTGGGCGAACAATGGCGCGTAATAAGGGCACTGGGCACATTCTCCGGAAAGTTGTCTTTCAGGAAATTTGTTGTATTGCTCTCAGGTTATGGGAATTAAATGTGCAGTGTGCACGGGAGAGCAACTCCCCCCATGCAGCGTCGCTCAGAGTTGCGGGCAGAATGCTCAGCATTTGTGGGAATAGATGGCCGCAAGGACAGATTGTTTGAACCATGGCATTGTTCCTCTCATACATCAGCAAACCTCGTACAAAGGAGTTAGGCTGCTCGCAGTTACTGGCGTCTGCCACTGTTCTGTCACTGGACATCTGTTGCAGCCCCCAACATGATGGGCTACAACATGCCCAACATGGACATGAACAACATGGGCAACATGTACAACATGGGCGGTGCTGGTGCTGTCGACCCCAGCATGATGATGACTCAGGTTAGTGACGTCATCGTGAGGCTGCTGTGTGGCGTCGTAATGGCCCAGGTGGCGTTCCGGCGCCGTGGCGACTCAGTGGGATGACGTCATAGCGAGTTGGAGTGGGCGCCATATGACCATCGTAGTCGATGCGCCCCAAGGTCCAAATCAGCATCATCATCAGAGCGAGTGGGCCTCGCGTTGTGTTATTGGCCCAAGAGGTGGCATCATTTTGATGTCGGGATTATGGTGGTATGGTCGCAACTGTTCTTGATGATAATTCATGGCATGGTTAAATGAGTTGTTCATTCGTCTGACGCGCGTCGACGACAGCATCTAGGACTGGCCGGAAGGGTATTTTCACCCATACTATTCCCTTATCATGACCCCCAGTACCTAGGGCCAGCACTACCTGCTGCCATCTAGCGATGATCGCAGCCCCCTCCCCGTGATGTGACGTTCCGGCGCCCACAGGGCCAGTACAACCTACTACCGGCCGGCATGCAGCAGCCGCTCTACCCCCAGCTGCCCGGCACGTGGATGCCCGACGGCAACTTCGTGGCCATCAAGGTGGGCGGATCGAGACCTCCCGGTCCGGTCAGATGGCACCCGCGTTCGGAGGGGGGGGGGAGGGGTGGTCAGCTGGACTGGACGGGCGGTAGTTTAAGCTCTGGATTGTCGATCAGATAGCATGGTGGCGTGGGAATTTTCCCCGTGACCTCCCACAGCGGTTGGTTTTCTCGTGATCTGGATGCTTCTGACCTTAATTGCGAATTAACAATGTGCAGCTGCCAGCCCTCTCAGGGCTTGGGCCAACGCGACCAAACTCTGATTCTCACAACAGAGAAGTCGTTTCTGACAACTGAATTGAAACCCCGTATATCCGGAAGTCTCCGTCGTGTAGGACCAGCCTCACACCGATGCCTGTGACCGGTCTGTGCCGCACGCTCGCCGCCGCGCCTCTTCCGCCGGCCGCTGGTGACCGTGTCGTGTTCGGCCACCGGTGACCGTGCCGTGTTCGGCGGCCGGTGACCGTGTCGTGTTCGGCCGCCGGTGACCGTGCCGTGTTCGGCGGCCGGTGACCGTGTCGTGTTCGGCCGCCGGTGACCGTGTCGTGTTCAGCCGCCGGTGACCGTGCCATGTTCAGCCGCCGGTGACCGTGCCGTGTTCGGCCGCCGGTGACCATGCCGTGTTCGGCCGCCGGCAGGAGGTGATCACGTGCGCCGAGTGTGTGCTGTACCCGCCCAACCCCAACGCGAGACCGCCCATGACGCGCGAGCGGCCGCCCGGCTGCCGCACCGCCTTCATCGGAGGCCTGCCCGAGAACATCACCGGTGAGGGGACGGACAGCCAGCGGGACGGGTGGTGATGAAGTGTCAGGGGACGGGCGGCGACTAGTGTCAGAGAGACGGGCGGTGAGGAGTGTCAGGGTGACGGGCGGTGACCCAGATACCAGTGACGGTCTCCAGACTCTGACAGTCTCGCCGACTGGTCAGGCTTACCCGGCGGCGCCCGTGCGCCGCCCCTGCCTCGCTCTCGCGTGAGGTCGCCGAGGCCGGACTAGGGCGTCAGCTCGGCCTACAGGCCGCCTGGCGGGCACGGCCGGCCGCCGACCGCGGTCGCACTGCGGTGCCGGGTGTCGTTTGTTCTTTGTTTGCTATGGTCGAGCACGATCCCACCGGAAAGCGACGTCGGTCCTTCGACCCGGAGCTGAGCCGCTCGGACCACCCGCGGCAGGCACGAACACGCCTTGTGTGTTCCGTGCTCCAGGAGCACAGGGCCTGGTGTAGCGATCGGGGTCCATCTGTGGGGGCGATCTGCGCCCACGTCTCCGGCCCCACATGCGATGATCGGACGTGGGGCCGCACGCTGACGGAAGCGCCGCCCTCCCCAGAGGACATTCTGCGGGACGTGTTCCGCCGCTGCGGCCAGATCTCCAGCGTGCGCATGTCGCAGAAGAACTTCGCCCACATCCGCTACGAGCTGGAGGTGTACGTTGAGTACGCCATCATGCTCTCCGGCTACCGCATGCGCATCCGGGACGAGACGGACGCGCCCAACACGGGCCGGCTGCACTGCGACTACGCCCAGGTGCGGCGGCCACGAGCCGAGATGGCGCTGCCGGCGGCCGGGGCGCGGCCGGAGCGCGACTGGTAGTGACGGGTGGCGGCACCGCCGCTCTGGCGGCTCTCGTGCCTGGTGTGAACGCTGCTCTTCACTCTCGTCTGTTAAGGGCGCTCCGGGACCTCAGCAGCGGACAAACGCCGGGGTAACCTCGATGTCCGCGTCCGCGGCTTGCCCCAGATGTCACCACTGGTCCATATCCTTGCTTCTTATCCACATAGGTCTACATTCCTTCAGGTATGTCGTGCCACAAATCTCTGTATTTGCAGCCGCCGGTGTCATGTGCACCTGTGCAACTCCGTTCTGTGCTGATCTATACGAGCTCTTGCACGTGTTTACACCGTCCCCACATAATGTGGGACCGCCCCCATCAGCGGCCGCTCCGCAGCCCGCCCGCTGCCTCGCTGACGGCCCTCGTGCCCGCCCAGGCCCGCGACGACACGTACGAGTGGGAGTGCCAGCAGCGCGTGCTGCAGCGCGAGATGCGCCACCGGCAGCGGCAGATGGAGGACATGGCGCGGCCGCCCTCGCCGCCGCCCGTCACGCACTACACGCATCACGAGGTACGGCGGCGGCGCCGGCGCCGGCGAGGGTCGTCACGACCTACGGCATCTACCGACGCTGCGCACGTGCCCTGTCAGTGCGAGTTGCGACGGCTGTCTACCTATGCCAGCGCAAGTCCCGACCGTAACGCGCCTCTCCGAGCGAGATAGATGTCGTGGCGTGCCTTTTCAAAAATGACCTCAGAAGTCGGCGCGCCCTGAAACCACAATCACCATCAACGCATGATACGTTTGCAATCTACCTGTCCCGGCGCCGTGCCCGTGCTCTAGCCCTTCTATCTGGACACGGCCGCCGGAGTTACCGGCGCGCGCGGAGGGCTCGTGCCCGGTGTGTTGACCGGCCGGCGGTGTGCCTCGCCCCTGTCCTCCTGCCCCTCCTCTGTCGGTGACGGGAGCCCCGCCGGCCGGGCGCAGGCGCAGCAGCTGATGGAGAAGATCAAGGAGGAGTCGACGTTCGGAGAGTCGGTGCAGCTGCTGACCAGCTGGCTGGAGCGCGGCGACTGCAACAAGCGCACCGCCGGCAACTTCTACTCCATGATCCAGTCCACCAACTCGCACGTCCGACGGTGCGTTGTCTGGCAACTGTCATGTATCGACTCACGCGGCATCCGTTGCTGTCATTATCTCCGTCGTCTCCGGTGGAAACGTTCCCGCGAAGGCATTCGAACTCCACACTCAACACTGGGACCTACAATGTGTGGGAGGGGGCTCTGTTCCTGGCAGCTTTCGCGAGACGAACCGCGTAGGGAACTACGCAGTGGTTGCGGGGTTGCGGGGGGTCAGTATGGTGGTAATTGCCCAGGCGCTCGGAGGATTATGGTCAGGTGATTGCTATATGTGATCTCTTGTTCGTCCTGACGCTCAATGAACCGCCGGAGTAGCTTTTGGGCCTCGTCCTGGCTCTCCCAAAGTCTCCAAATGGCCCCGTTTTTGTCAGCGTGGGACCCACTCAACGGGTTGCGGTCTTTGACTCATATACGAAGCACGCAACCACCGTCAGGAAACTACTGGGCGCATTTGGGTTGTCAATGTGCGACAGGAAGAAGTACCCTACTCAGAGATGGCTCGGCCATCGTGCGTATTTTGTGAGAGGTGTTTGGGGTGTTTGCGATCGGGAAGGGGCCCCTTGATAATCTCCGTCGCGTTCGGCTCTGGTCGGCCAGGACGCAGGGGACACGTTAAGACCGCCTAGTGTGTAGGCTGTGAAATCTTTGCAGCCGTCCGCTATGACGATGGTGCTCCGTGTTTAAGGTCCCATGCGTCTGCTGTGGCAATGCTGTACCGTGCTTAATGTTCCGCGGGTCGACTGTGGCTGTGCCATCTCGTGTATGAGGTCCATCGTGTCTTTTTGAAGGCGGTGTCCCGTTTGTGAGGTCTCTTTCGTCTCCTGTGGTGGACGCGTCCCGCGTGAAAGGTCCTTTCCGTCCGGTCTTGTAATGGTGCCCCTGATATAAGGTGGCATGCCCGCATGTCCGCCTTCTGTGGTGCGTTGTCTGGTGTGCGTACGTGCGTAGGTGCGTGCGTTGCGCTACGTTGCGTTGCGTTGCGTTGCGTTGCGTTGCGTTGCGTTGCGTTGCGTGCGTGCGTGCGCGCCGTACGTCGTCGTCGTCAACGGTGGCGTGCCTGCCGCGTTGGTCTGTGCCGCGGTCTATGCCGTCTGACCGCCGGCCGCCGGCAGGCTGATGGCCGAGCGCTCCACCATCGAGGAGGAGCTGACGCGGATGCGCGAGGAGGCGCGCCTCCGCCAGCAGCAGGTCATCGTGCAGTGTGAGTAGGCCAGCGCGCGCGCCCGGCCGCCCCGCCGCCGCAGGTACAGTGGCCACACGGCGCGCCGCGGCCTGACGGGCCCGTGGCGTGCGCTGGCGCCTGCCGCGAGCCGTGGTACGTATACGGATCGAGCGCCGCGCCGTTCGGTGCAAACCCAGCCGGTGTTGGTTGATGGTGACGCGTGGTAGAGAGTCGTCAAATCAGGGAGGAACGGTATTGTATGGCACGACACCGAGCATCCTCATAATGGGCTGGCGTATTCTCTGGCGGGAAATCTTCGCGAACGAGGCCAGGCCACAGTTTGTGTGGTTCTGTCTGGACTGTGATTGGGGTTGTTTATGGCAGGGCCGTTTCCAGTTCTAGCCAAGGCTCTGAGTTTGAGGATGCTCGGTGTTGCGGAAGAGTTCACGGACCAGAGGTAGTACTGTGCGTCCTTTCTCCACTGGCTGACGATAGTCTCCGCTCTGAGAATCCACAACATGCGTCTGACGCGTCATTTAACCGTCTTGAGGTGCGCCACGTTGCGACCTGAGCATCTTCGGCCAAAATTGCGTCGGTTACAGGCGCAACCTAAACCCACCGATGGTCAGTGTTTGTAGCTGGGCTGATCGCGTACATCGCATTCGGATGAGGACGCACAGTATTGCCGTGCCATGTGATTGGCCGAGACCACCCCAGGAGTCTTCTGATTGGTCGCCTGTTTGTGTACGGTATGCCACGCCCTGTCTAGTCGAGCTCAGGACACTGCCGACTTTGTACGGTATATCTCCAGCCCGGCCTGGCTCGGCTGCCATTGGTCGGCCCGGCGGAAGGCCCGCCGCCATTGGTCTGACATGTACGGTATGCATTGTTTTCTAGTCGGCCAGATCGAACACGTGTTCGTGGCGGCTTGCCAGCAGAAGGTCTGGGATCACTTCAGCAAGGCCCAGAGGAAAAACATTGAACTCTGGAAGAAGCAGGCGGCGGTAAGGACTCATCATGCTCACAAGAATGTCACCAGACAGCCGGCAATTGCGAGTAAAGAGCATGATAATGCGCTTTCATAAACTGGCCACTCGGCCCCTGCTACGGCTGTGGCGTGACCTTCTTGGGACCATGGCCGGCGGACCCTTCCAGTATGCGCGGGGATTGGTGGCTTCTAGACTGCCGTCGCAGGTCGGCTCATGCTCTAGGCCAGATGGGACACGCGTTCGTGGCGGCCCGTGCCCGGCTGTGCGGTGCTGTACGCCAGCCTCCGGAGGCACGGGATGGTGCTGGACTGCCTGAGAAGTCAGACATTGTTCGGGATACCGGTCTCCCGAGGAGCTAGGCATTGTTCAGGCACCAGTCCCCTGAGAATCTAGGTGCTGTTTAGGCACCAGTCCCCTGAGAATCTAGGTGCTGTTTAGGCACCAGTCCCCTGAGAATCTAGGTGCTGTTTAGGCACCAGTCCCCTGAGAATCTAGGTGCTGTTTAGGCACCAGTCCCCTGAGAATCTAGGTGCTGTTTAGGCACCAGTCCCCTGAGAATCTAGGTGCTGTTTAGGCACCAGTCCCCTGAGAATCTAGGTGCTGTTTAGGCACCAGTCCCCTGAGAATCTAGGTGCTGTTTAGGCACCAGTCCCCTGAGAATCTAGGTGCTGTTTAGGCACCAGTCCCCTGAGAATCTGGGTGCTGTTCAGGCACCAGTCCCCTAAAAATCTGGGTGCTGTTTAGGCACCGGTTTCCTGAGAAGGTAGGTACTGTTTGGTGCACCAGTCTACTGAGAAGCTAGGTACTGTTCTGAACACCAGTTTCCGGTCACCTTTGTCGTTCTGGACACCAGCCATCCGAGACGGCGCGTGCCGTTGTGAACACCGGTTTCCCCGAGACGATAAGTACTGACCTGGACACGACCTGCCAGCGGGCGGTGTATTGGACTGGCGAGCGGCTAGGTATTATGTCTGACACCGGCCCCGGGAGTCCCCGGTCGCCGCTGCCGCGGTGGATGTGTCAGGTACTGCCCGATGCACCGGTATCCCGTGGCTCCGCAGATGGTGAGGCTGGTCTGTGACGTCACGCCCCGACGCGAGGCCGGCCTGTTGCGCTATCCCCGGGGTCGATGAGGGGGGGGGGGGGGCAGAGGTGACGTTATACCCTTGGCATGCGCCATGCCTATAACTCTTCATGATGACCCATGCCAGCAAGGCCATGCCAGATATCTTCATATATGACACAACATGAATTGATTTTAAAATCGGTAAAAAAATTGGGATGGAATTGGTAAAAATTGGTCACGGATTGGTTTGTTTCAAGCCAGTTGCTACCTTGCAATCTGTCATTCCGCTTGCACAGTAGAACATTCCGCAGTTAGCTGCTGAATTAGAAGACCCAGCGACGCGGAAATACGCAGCACTTAGTACCCCTGACCAGCGTGTCAGCATCCACCTTCCGCTTGAACGTCTGAAGTGGAAATGATGGATCGCGGCCGACGCTGCCCGTCTCGGCTAAAAGCCTGGTGTCTGCACAGCGAGCGATTTCTGGGAAAACGGCTCATGTTCGACGGTTCCATCCTTAATATTTTTTAACGCATCGATTTGGCCGCCGAGTGGAGAGAGGCCGGTTCCGACGGCTGAGCGCGGCCTGCTGTCGGAGGAGATGCGGGCGGAGGGTGAGTGGGCCGCCGGCGCCCGGTCACGGTAAGGACACGGACCGCGTGAGAGCGGCCACGGCCGACTGCTGCAGGCGAGCGGTCTATGGGGCGTCGGTGGTCCGAGGATGATCCGGCGGCTGGTCAGACCCGGGGCTCAGACCCCGCCGGATGGTGCGCACTCGGGTGCTGACTGTGTTCCCATCCGCCGACCCAGTGACTTGGCCGTGTGGTCTTGCGGCCGGGGGCTTCCGAGCTGGTGCCCTTGCACTCCGCTGTAATGGTTCCTGCCCCGTAAGATCCAGCACTTTCCGGCCTCCTGGATCCACCACCCTCCGCGCCGCAAAATACAGCATTCGCTGGTTTCCAATAGTTGGCACTCCTCGTTGGCCGAGTGCGGCCCCTCCCCGCTGGCCGAGATACGACACTCCTCACCGGCCGAGATCCGCGCTGACCGAGATCCTACACTCCCCGCCGGCCGAGATCCGCGCTGGTCGAGATACGACACTCCTCACCGGCCGAGATCCGCGCTGGCCGACATCCTACATTCCCCGCCGGCCGAGATCCGCGCTGGTCGAGATCCGACACTCATCACCGGCCGAGGCCCGACACTCCCCGTTGGTCGAGATCAGACGCTCCCCGCCGGTCAAGCTCCCCGCTCGTCGAGATTCGACACTCCCCGCCGGCCGAGATCCGCGCTAGCCGAGACCCTACACTCCCCGCAGGCCGAGATCCTACACTCCCCGCCGGCCGAGCTCCCGCCGGCTGAGATCCTACACCCCTCGCCGACCGAGATCCGCCGCGCCGCGGCTGCCGCTCGGGCGCCTGTGCGACGTGCTGTGTGTCCCCATCAACGGGTGGCCTGCGGGGGCGGCCCTCTTCAGCTGCAGCCGGCGCCAGCTCGGCGGCGCGACCGTAACACTGCGGCACCCTTACAGGAGATCAAGAAGATGCAGATCGATGAGCTGTCGGGCGAGCGCGCCGAGGAGGAGATGGAGCTCTCCGACGACGAGGAGCCCAGCAAGAAGCGCACGCGCCGACAGGGCGGCGCCGCCCCGGCCGAGGAGGTGAGCAGGCCCGCGTGGACTGAGGGTCGGCGAGGCAGGTCTGATGAAGGTGTGATGGCCGTCTTCGCTCTCCGGGAACGCCGGGGCGTGTAATGATGTGCTGTTGTGCTCGGCTTCAAACATATTTCACGGACTAAACATCGTGGGTGCCTGCGGGGTCGCTTTGTTATGAAACAGCAACAAATGTCAATTTATGAATATGCCAGTGCTATCAGGTACGCTTTTATGTTGTTGGGTAAGTGATGCACTTCGATGCTTTTTAGCACGCCGTCCTTCCTAGCGAGCTTTCAAAAATTGCTGTGTTGCTGGCCAATTTTTCGGGATGGTGAATGCAACCCAGATTTGACACATCGTTACATTTAAGGACGTCTTTGAAGATCTGTCATAACAATATTAGCGGGTCCGGCTATTCGCAACAGGCTATACGCCTTAGGCCCCGTTATTCCCTTCACTGTGCGTGCACGACCAAATGACCGCGCGGAGGAGTCGGTCGACTGGGAAGCGTATTACCCGATGTCACGCGTGCCAGCCCGGCCAGCTGGGCGCCGCTCCGGCGGACGGCCGTGACGTCACGGCCGGTTGCCAGGACGACGCGGCTGACGCGCTGCGCTGCCAGCTGGAGGCCTACAAGAACGAGGCGGAGATGGTGCGCTACGAGCACCACGAAGAGTTGCAGGCCAAGGACAAGGAGATGGAGATCATGCGCAAGACCATGCAGAACGTGCAGCAGGTAGATCTGGGTGGGGCCTTTGACGGTGAGGTATTCGGGGAGAGGTTTCGTGTTGTGGCATGTGATGTGGCCTTGACCGAGTTAGAGCTGTCAACGTGTTCTCCACGCTGTATGTGAAGACACGCACACATCTTGTCCGTTGCACTGTGAGGCTGTTGTGATAGCTTCAGAGGGCGGCCATGCAAGGCAGTTTCAGCCAAGCCTATTGCGTGTATACACGCAGCGGAAGACAACCGTCGGCTCCAGCCGGGGGAGGCGCGGAGGTCAGAGCAGCCAGAGTGCCCGCGGCGGAGCGCGCTGCCGACCCGTCCCTTCGCTGACCCGTGGCCGGGAGCGTGACCCGCCCCCCCCCCCCCCCCGCCGCCGCCAGCAACTGCTGACCTGCAAGTCTCGGGAGACGACGCTGGATCGCCAGGTGGCGCAGCTGCAGGCCCAGCTGGAGCGGTTGAGGAAGCCGTCCCTGGCTGAGGGGAAGGCGGAGGATAAGGCGGAGGGCGACACGGAGGCCGCCGACGTCCCGGAGAAGCCGTACGTAATGGTGTCGCGCCGCTCGCAGCCGTTGGCGAGGTCCGTCGCACGGAGCCGGGGCACGGCCCGAGCTACCGATGCGCCGGCAAACAGCAGTCATTCGCAGTGCTGACGTGTGAGCGTGATACAGAGGCAATGGCGCTGTCAGTACTGGCGGCAGCGTCGTGGGCCGTGTCGTCGTGACGTTGTTGGACGCTACCGTCGCGCTGGCGGTTTCGTTCGCTGCGCCGGACCATCGCTCGGTATTGTGCGGCTTCCGTCTTGTGGCTTGCTCTGATACCAGCGTTTACATCTGTCTGCCGATGAGCTGGTCCGAGCGGCGGACCGGCGGCGGTTCGTGATGTTCGGCCTGCCGGGCACTGCCGGGGAGCGCCGGCTAGGCTCTCCCCGGCCAGCGGGCCCCAGCCAGCCCCAGCCAACCCCAGCTAGACCCAGACAACCTCAGACAGCCCCAGTCAGCCGGCCCCAGCTAGCCGCAGCCAGCCCCAGTCAGCTCCAGCTATTCCTAGTCAATCCCAGCTAGCCGGGCTCAGCTAGCCGGGCCCAGCCGTAGTACGCAGCGGTCTGTCCACCCACCTGCAGGGACAAGGAGCCGACAGAGGACGTCCAGCCAGCAACGGGAACGGGCCGACGCACTAGCGACGAGGCGGCACCGTCAGCCCTGCTGCTCTCGCCCATCGATGGTCAAGACGCCCGCATCATAGGTGAGCTGTACGCTCAGCGCTCGTGCATTCCCCGCGTGTGACCACCGGTGGCCCGGTGGAGGTGGGACGGGACGGCGGCATTATAGGTCAGCTGGTCTGCTCAACGCTCGTGTCTCCCCCGCGAGCCATCACCGGCGCCGCAGAAGCCACTGAGGTGAACTGGGCTGTTTTCGTATGTAGATTGACGGAAAGACGAGGGGCTGGGAAGGGAATGTTCCACGTTTTTTGGCGGTTCCGAGCCTTGGTGGCCAAATTTATAGCGCTCAAAAGCAATCGCAACCATAAACTATAAAAGTTTCAAAACGCTCTAGTCCTTGAACGCAATTTGTAGACTGACTGAATTGGTAGGATGCAATTTGTCTACCTGATTATTTCAACGAGGGCTTCGTTTAGAGAAGAGCGTTGCGTGATGGGAAATGGTTCTGCCGACGGCGGCCGCCAGCCACTGAGGCTGGATATGACCAATTCGCGCCTGACGCAGCGGGGCAGAATCTTCCTGATTAAAAAGTTTTGATACTAACAGCACTTCTCGAACTGAGCAGGCGACGTGGTCGCATCCGGGGTGAGCCAGTTGATCGTATTTCGCCACTTTCTAATACCCACAAAATTGGAACACCCCCTTGAAAGGAAACGCCGTGATTACAGCGGGCACGGGCCATCGACGCAATGGTAGCTGGAGCAGGGAGACCCCAGGCCTGTGGTCAGGTCTGAGCCGGTCACCGTTTGGCCGGATTCATCCCGGATGTCACTGCTGCACGACCCGTGTCACGGGGCCATGTCACGAGGGCCATGTCACGAAGGCCGTGTCACGAAGGCCGTGTCACGAAGGCCGTGTCACGAGGGCCGTGTCACGAAGGCCGTGTTCTGGCGGTGTGGCCATACCAAGGTCAAGAGGTGGCGTCCAAGGCGCTACAAATGATTGATCCCGTGGCGGGTGCACAAAACGGATCCGTGGCAAATTGGATCGCGTCCTCTGATGACATGGGTGGCAGCCAGACGCCAGTCTTGTAATTGGTCCTGGAAGACGGCCGCGTGTTATCGGCCCAGGTGATAGGGACTTGTGACATCGACCGACTATGGATCTGCTGCAAGGACGCATGTGGGACTTCTGAATGCTCTTTGAATGCACGGCTGGGAACGCCAGCTGGACAGGTGGGCGTCGGGACATTCAGCCGGCGGCGCTGTGCTCAGGCAGCCGTGTGATGTCACTCGGAACTGTCGGTCGGCGGCGCTGTGCTCAGGCAGCCGTGTGATGTCAATCGGATCTGTCGGTCGGCGGCGCTGTGCTCAGGCAGCCGTGTGATGTCATCTGGAACTGTCGGCCGGCGCGACTGCCTGGCGTGTGATGCGTGTCTGGGTGACTGACGCGTGGTCGTGCGATATGTGATGCTCGGTCGTGTGATGCGTGACGCTTGACCGTGTGAATGTGGCATGCGGTCGTGTGATATGTGACACCCAGCCGTACGATGTGTGACGGCGGGCCGTGTGATTATGACACCCAGCCGTGTGATATGTGACGCCGGGCCGTGTGATGTGTAACACCCAGCCGTGTGATGTGACACCCAGCCGTGTGATATGTGACGCCGGGCCGTGTGATGTATGACGCGCAGCCACATGATGTGCCGGATGCCGTGATTTCGCTGACGCCTGGCTCCGCCCCCCCCCCCCCCTCCCCACAGGGCTCGCGTCGGCCTTCCTGAACGTGCATCCGGAGGGCGCCAGCTGCGACTACATCTGGTCTTACCTGCAGCAGTTCCCCGGCTACCTGTCGCTCAGTCCGCGCGACGTCGAGACCGTGCTGTCCAGGTCAGTGCGGCCGGCCACCGTCACAGGCGGCGGGACGCTCCTGTCCGGAGCTGGTGCACGATTGACACGCACGTGGACGCTGCACCTGGCCGGTGCGGGTTGTCGGCCGGCTGGGAGAGGTCTTCCGGGCTGCGTGCGGTGCTGACTGCTCGCCCGGCTGGCCACCTTGTTGGACTCGTACAGCCGCAGACACGCGACAGAACAGGAAATACGTTTGCATTCTGCGAGAGTTGCCAAGGTGGTGACAGGTGTCATTAACATGCGCATTGCGACCAACTCAGAGCCCATCGGCAATGTTTTTGCTCGCAGGGTTGATATCACTTGAGTGGACGCAATGGCTCATGCATGTGTGGGGATGTATCCGCCAGGCGTCTTTCCAACCATATCCCTTCAACGCGTGGATTTTGTCGGCGCGTGAAGGCGTGGGTGCTAGCCCAGACGGCTGTGCTCTATGGGAACGCGGGTTGTGTCTGTGTTCGGGCCGGCGCTGTGTGACCCGTGCACCTGACCTCAGGTACGGCCGCGTGTTCCGCGAGGTGGTGTCTGGCCTCGGCGCCCGTATGGAGCGCAAGTGGACCTTCATCGGCTACACGCCGCCCCAGGACGGGGAATGACATCACCGGCCAGCGGCGGCTGCTATTGGTTGGCGGACCAGAAGTGTGTGACGTCAGTGGCGTGCGTCGGCGTTCACTGGTTGTCCGACCGGAGGCGGCTGACGTCACTGTCGTGTGTCGGCGCCGATTAGTCGGCAGGCTGTGGGCGGCCGATGTTGCCGGCAGCGCTGGCGCCCATTGGTCGAGAGGTGGTTGACGTAACCGCCCTGTGGGCGGAGCAAAATGATGTCACGGCACGGTGCAGCATGTGGTGTTTTCCCAGTGGCGGAGTGGTGTCGGCGGGTGGTGCGGTAACTCGCAGCAGACCCCGTTTCTGGACCTAGATGTTTGCCGCGCCGCCCCTCTGTTCATCAGGTACTGCACGCAGAGAGTTTTTGGTTCCGCCGTGTTGACTTCAATATACGTTTGCCCTCACCTTGCGTGGACTTTACTGCGTGGATGTTTTCAAGCAGAAATGGTGCTGCGACCGCTCCGCGCCGTTCCCTTGCGATTTCAAAATGTTCACGGTATGATGCCATTTTAACATCCGGCACTCACACAAGGGGGAAAGATGCACTTCGATGAAGAATTGAAGCATCATGGACGTACCTGGTAACTCCTACTCATGTTCACTGCTTGTTGAAAACAAGGTCGAAGGGGGGAATGATTTCGTTGGGGGCAGCGGCGGGACGACTGTAGTTCAGGTGTCTGGTGGCTGTCTTAACGCGCTACTCTCAGATTTGATCTGTAAAAACCAGTTAGCCATAGAATGAAATGAACGTTCGAGCTATGCACAAGGTGTGCTTATGACGCGTCATTTTTTTTAACAGTGTCCTTTTCTTGAAGGAACTAAGGGAACTTTTGTTCCTCCTCTTACGAGCTCCGGACGTCGTCTCAGATTCGTGTTGCCCAGCTCCATCCCGGCTCGGGCCCCGGCAGCTCCATCCCGGCTCCAGCTCTGGCAGCTCCATTCGGCTCTGGCTCTGGTCACACACCGTCCCCAACCGCCATCTGCGGCTCTGGGCAAACCTGTGCTTAGGCGGAGGACGGATCTAACTCATTCTTCTGCAGCAACTGGAATCCAACAGTTGTTACAGGCTATGCCGCAAGGTTGGCGAGTCCTTCCCGATTAAAAAAAAGAGAGAGTGGCCGGGCGGCCCGGCCCGGCCAGCTCGTCACACTTTCTAGAAGCCAATGTCCCTGTAACCACCGACTGCAGGCTCATGCGGCTTTTAGCAGCGAGAGGACCAATTCTTTAAAAGTTCTGATGCTTGGATTGTCAAGCAGCATGTGTGACATGATGAGCTTTTTCCTGCAACCTTGTAATATCAATACGATTTCGTCTTCGTATTCGGTTATCATGAAGACGAAAACATATTTGAACTGCAGAAAAACTGAAGGGCGCTGGCCGAAACTGTTTTCACATTTTGACGACCCAGCTGGCGTCACAGTAATTCGAAGCTCATTCAGTCTAACGTCTCAAAAGGAAAAAAAAGCCTTAAAGAAAAACGGACAACGTAATCCAGAGCATGAGCTGATGGGTACAGACGGCCATCTGTTCTCTTGCACAAACCATGGATCCGTCCGTTTTAACGCGTTTGTAAGGACCGAGGTTAGGTTTCGGGAACCAGAGCAGATAAAGGTATTACGCCAGCAATACCGTGTGGGCGAACGTAGCGGCCATAATTCGCCAGCGGATCTCGGAGCTCCAGTTCTCAGGCTACCCAGTAATGGTCTGGAGAGTGGTGGTGGTGCCTCTTGCCGAAACCAATCTCACAAACAAGACGCTGTTAAATAAAGCCGAGAAAAATGCGACACAAAAACTGCTCAGACGTATAAAGGAGTGCCTATGAGTAGCGCTCATTGGGGAGAGAAACCGGGCAACTGCGCAGTGGGGGATACGGGGATTCGCCGGGTCTAAACACATGAACCCTTTCGGAGAGAATTAAATGTTCTGGTCGAAATACTATTGTTCTTTTCTTCCCTATAGATATTCTCTTCGCGTGCTCAGCTTTATCCACTCGACGCATCTATTATTCTGCAAACAGACAACCCAGTTTCTAAAGCTACGCCTGCATCCCAGCATCATTTCCACTGCAGATAAATATCTCAGGACTGGAGAATGTAACATGTCAGGCTGCTGTGGACCGGCGCAGCAGTCAGACATAAACCACAAGGCTACATCAGGAGCTTGCCCTCTGGAATCAAAGCTCGTCACTTTATCACACTGCTGGCCCGCGGCTTTGCTCTTTCTCCCCTGCTCAGGATTTTCCTCTTCGTCGATCTGCCTCTCCTAGTAGATAACAAATATTTTGAATGGGATATTTTGCATGAACGTAGTTATGCGAATAGCACTTGCCACGTGGAACGTGTTGCGTGTTCCCTGATCCCACCGCCCACCGTAGACCGATCAATCCCATCGGGTGATTTCTCGACGACCTTCATGCCAGACGGGACAGTGGAGGGTTTTATGTGCCAAACATACCCCGACGCGACCACCTGGGTCAGGTTAATCCGGCCATCCTAGTTACCAGCGGGCCGTTCTTCGTCAGTCGGCCAGTCGTCATCATCGCCATCATCACCATCAATCATTTTCACACTGCTAATTCAGCATGCTTCCATTCGACTCCGGTATCCGACAGTATACCGCGCGTAATGCTCCGACTGCGCCCCATGTTCATGCTCGCATACTTTGGCTGCCATCGAACAGACAAACCCCAATAACGCCGTTCAGGGCACATCAAAAATCGAAGCGATGATTGTGAAGGCACTGAGTTTAAATTTTCCTTAATCCGGAGAGCGCAACTCGCCGTCAATCCTCTTTCATGATGTCGATAACCTCCGTTCACTGGCATCCGTAGCAATCCTTTCTTTCAATCAACAGTCCAGAATTAATTCCTTTGGCTGTTCTAGGTAACGTTGGGTGGTACTTATCTCTCATCTGATAGGCTGTCTGTCTGCTGTCACCTCGCTTGTCCCACGTCTGTTGTTGCCTCGCACGTCCGGTTTGCTGTCACCTCTCTCGTCCAACATTTGTTGCCACCTCGCTCGTCCAGCGTCTGTTGTCACCTCGCTCGTCCCATGTCTGTTGTTGCCTCGCTCGTCCCATGTCTGTTGTCACCTCGCTCGTCCCATGTCTGTTGTGGCCTCGCTCGTCCCATGTCTGTTGTCACCTCGCTCGTCCAGCGTCTGTTGTCACCTCGCTCGTCCCATGTCTGTTATTGCCTCGCTCGTCCCATGTCTGTTGTTGCCACGCTCGTCCCACGCCGCACCAGGCGTTTCATTGACTTGTGCCTTCGTGTGGGTCACTCCTTCACGAGACCGCCTGCGGTCGAATTTATTGTCTACCCTTCGCCGACAAGTACCAAGCGAATAAAATAAAGAATGCAAATATTTAACTTTCTAGATATATATAGCCTTATCTAGCTTATCTGTCGGCCCCCCTGCCGGGCAGAACATCTCAGACGGAATAACGCTCCCTCGACCGTCCACCAGCCGGCCCAGCCGCTCCTGAGAGATACGGATCGTTGCGGCAGGACACTACCACTCTGACGGCAGCTGAGGGATGAAGCATGCTTGGCCAGTTCCTACTCCTCCGCGAGTCCCTCTGCCGTTAGATAGAGCCCGGACCGACCGGCGTCAGCCCGGCGCGGACGACCAAAATCTCGCTGTGATGACCTGAGGAATGAGATACGGACATGAAGTACGTTTTGATATCCAAGCCCGCGCATAAAGTATTCTGGTTTTGATGTTTAGCTTGCGCTCATTCCAGAATGGGGGTGTGTTGATTTACTCACACATGTACCTAACTCTTTGGTGACGCTGTTTTGGCTAGCAACCACTCATTTCATGAACCTTGAGATCTGTTTTTTTTTTTCTAGAAGAAACGCGCAGCCTGTTCTCTCGGTCACTGACCCTCAATCTGACAATTCGTTCGTGGTCCCGAGCCATCTGAGGTGATCCTCGTTCCGCCCAGCCCACCGCACGCGCGGTTTGCAGGCGTTGGATGCTGTGCCGCCGAGACACAGAGCGGGCGAGAACGGGCCGCTCGAGTCCGTTATCCCGTACCCGCATCGAGCTGCTGCCCCCCCCCCCCCCCCCTCGGCACGGAGCGAGGCAGGCTTGCTGGGCGCCGGACGCATTTTGTTTTCGTTGCTGAAGCTGTTTTCGAACTCACTGAGGCTGCTAAATGTTTTTTTTTGTCCATTATGGCCACGCTGCGTAAAGAAAGATGATTGATAGATAGCTTCGATATTAAATTTGTCGTGTTTGCTGTTAACTACATCGCTTTAAAGCCGGCCGAACAGCGTGGTATGCCTGTAGATCCGATATTTCTGCGTATAGTGAGGCACATTCTCATGCTTACATTCCCGAGACCGATTGCGCTTCCCAGGCAGGTGTGAATAATTTCGTGACTTAGCTCAAACCTTATCGAAACAGACCTCAGGGATAGCGGGATGAATTCGCTCCACACTATACTTTTAAGTGTGCGCAAAAGCAGAGGAAGACTCATGATAGTTGACACCAATATGCTGTAAGAATGTACGCTGTTTAAATAAGCGCATGCTTAGAATGTTAACGTGGCAAAAGGTGGTATGACTGGAAACAAGTTGAGAAAAATTCCAGACAAAAGGTCGTATGAGGAATGATCGCATTTGATACGGACTGTGCGGAATAAATTTGACGATGACATACGATTGGTTCAAAAGAGGGCTGCACTGACAAAATACAAAATCGTACGGTAAAAGGTCGTACAGGAGGCAAGCTGTCATGCAAATATGGCGTGCGATGGGGGTCGCGTGCGATGAAGACCCTGTTCCGGCAGGTCAAGCAGCATGAAGGGCGTGTTGATAAAAGCTCCCATGGAATATAAAATGCACGACATAGAAACGGCATGGGTCAATCCGTTTCCTAAGTATGGCACCCCAGACAGACAAAGCCCTGAAAAGTAGCGCCAGACGCACAAACAGCGTCACCTCCATCTCCGCTGCTCAGACAGAACTGAGCGACTTGCGACCGTATAGGTTCCACTTAAAGTAGAAAGAGTAGAAAAAATTCCATCCAATGCTCCTGTAAATCTCATCCAATGTTGCGATGCTATCTTTCGACACAAAACCATGGAATTCTGGGCGATCTTGAGCCCATCTTTTTCTTGCGTACGGTTTTTTACTGCGATCTTTTGCAGAGCAGTTTTATCACCGACGATCTTTATCCGGTGCAATTGATTGCATGAAATACGATAGCAAAGCTCGCATCACATAAAGCTAGTATCGCATGGAGACTTCTTTCCACATTTTATCGCCACATGAATGCCACCCATGACAATCTTTTTTTCCTGAAGAACTTAGTTCGGTACGATATCTTTATGACTTTCATTTAACGTGACCATTTGCTTCTATCTTTTTGCAGATAGTCTTTACTTCCACACTATGTTTTCCAT